TTAATGTAGGTAGCAACGATGGTTTCGAGAAACGCACCCCAGTCTGTGAAGAAGGCATTCAAGTAAGAATTGCATTGTAGTATGACTCATTTCCTGGCGCGTACAATTTATATTAGGTCAGCGTTCACGGTTCGACTTCTGATATTCAGATCGAGTTCTAGGTCAAACTGGTTTGTTCGACTTTCAAGAAATTTGAGTTCTAGTGAGTTCGAGAACCGAGGTACCACTATATTTGTTTCAGCCACCACTCTAAATCAGTGGAATTAGAAAAAAAAGGACAAAATAATATACATTTCTCTAGTTCTTTGTCCTATTGGCATAATGCAGTCAGGGGTGAACGTAACTGGTGCGCATTCACCTTTAAAGGCAATACATGAGGCAATTGATTATTGTAACAGCGCAAATGCATACATAGCAGAGCAAATGCTCATAAACTATGACAAGAAATTACCATGCACAGATACAGGTCTGTGTTGCTTAACTTCTGGGCTATGCGTTGCATTCTGTCCAGTAGGACGTTAGGCAACTTGGATGCTATGCAAACAATGTGTACACTGTAAACTGCCCTCTACAGTATACTTGATCTATACTGTATCTGTGCTGCCTAAATACCAAAGATATTGTAGTACTGTATACTACACTGTAATAAAAAACAGTGAGAGTACACAAAATAAAAAGTACAATAAACACACAAATGGGTAAATATGTACTGAAGCATAATCACATTGTTTACACCAGTTACACATAGCCAGCTGAGCTCTAAATCTGATCAGGATTTTTCAAATCTATTTTAAGATTTATGGGATGTCAGATGTATATGCAGATGTTGTGTGGAAGAATGGTAAGCCACGAATAATCTTATATGAGTTTGGGGGCACAGTACAGGCAGTACCTGGGTTAACAACTTCCAATGTAAGGACAATTCAAACTTACAAAAGGACTGCCTTAAAGCCTATTACAGTGGTACCTCAGTTCTCAAACTCATTAGAACTCGAATTTCTTAAAAGTCGAACCAACCAGTTTGGAAAAAAAAGACCTAGAACTCGATCTGAATCTCAGAAGTTGAACCGTGAACGCCGACCTAAGATAACTTGCACGCGTCAGGAAATGAGTCACGCGGCACACTTCTTAGTGGAAACAAAGGGTAACCCTTCAGTCTCAGCCTTGCATTCGCTGTGAGAGCATCGTGCATGTTTACACTAGCTGAATACATATATTTAGACATTAAAAATACATTTAGACAATGATAGACAGTAACAGTAATTATTATATAATAAAATAAATTTACAAATAAAGATTTCTTATGAATTATTTTAATATCATTAATAATAAACCATTAATACATTTAATTATAATAATATTGTCATGCCAAGCGGGGACGGAACAGAGACAAAGGCGCAGACGTCAGGGTATCGGGGAATACGAGGTTTAATTACAGGTAAGGCAGGCAAAACGCAGACGGACAATACAATGACCGGACTGGGGAAACAAACTGAAACACGGACTACAGAAAACTAATGACAACAACCAGAAACAGCTGATGACACGGAGATTCCACACGAGTTTAACGAGGG